TCAGAGTGAACGTTTTAGATTTTTATGTCATTAAACCCCTCAGTTCCCAGTCCTGTGAATGCCAACGAGCAGACATCTTCTAGTGAGCCACAGAGCAGCTACTGTGCACCTCTGAAGGTCAGGTCCTCAAAAGGTGCAAAAGGAGTTTTGTAGAAACACCACCACCATACAGACAGGTGAATCCTCAATTCACTTGAGACCTGCTTTTTAAATCACAGGAGGCACAGATTTCTTTACTTGGATTTTGTCATTTGTTGCTAACCTATTACCCTAATGCCAAGGCAACTGAGCTTCCTCCATCCACTTGCTTCACTTTTTAGGGAGACACAAAATATTTTTGTGTTATCTTGCACAAATTTACTCAAGATCACAAGATTTGCTGATGCTCCATAATAACACAGATAACTCTCCATAATACATCACACTTCTATAACTCCTTTAATCCAGAGATATCAAAGCACTTTGCAAATAATACATTTGCCTTTTAACACTCCTCCCACATTCCATGTTAGGTCCGTATCATTATCCTTGTTTCACTATCAAGGAAAAGAGAAGCAGAGTAAGATAACGCAATTTAGCAGGGTTACAAAGAAAGTAGAAAAAATTGGAGCAGAATGTGATCTTTCTGACTAGCTCTGCAATCCACCAGAAGCCCAGTCATCTGAAATAGCGGAATGCAACACAGCTTATGATTATGCTTTGGGTGGATTTACAGCTGTACCACACAAATACTACAATGTGTGGTTTATGCTAACGGCTTTGCAAGTATCCTCTAACTATACAGCAACTTTTGAATTAGTAGAAGATAGGGGAGATGGAAAATAACTAATACTAGCACAAGATCTGTGAGGCTTTATTTCCAAAGGATAAAACTCCCATTTGAAAATATCTGGTTGATAACAAAGAATATGCCTGAAGCAGCACAATAACTTTCAAACAAGTGCTCTTCCTCCTGGTGCAATTTTAGAGCCCAGCTTCCAAAAGACAAAATAATAATAATAATAATAATTAAAAAAGATATCTGTGTGTAACTGTATTTCTGTGGGTACAGCAATCAAAGCAAGGATCTGCCTCACGGAAGGCTGTATGATGCCAAGAGATCACATAAAGAAGCCAGAGTTTTTTCCCCAACTACAGTTGACTGTACACACTCTCCCATTGTGTCTCATCAAAGAGCTGATGAGGGAGGAGTAGAGTGTACTGAAAAAGTAAACAGGGCCACTGACAACAAATGAAAGCAGAACAGTGATTCTATGGAAACTGCTTGCAGTCTGGGCTACTACACATCAAATCCAGATCTGAGGCCAACAGGCTGAGCTCTTCTAGAGCAGCATCTTGAGTAATAGCAAACTGATTCACTGTTAGTGTATGCAAAGCTTTGCATTAGTTTCAGAGGATTCTGATCCGAGAGAAAAGCATCTGCAGATTTGAGACCTTAGCTTCTTGTGCACATTGCTTTGAGCACTCAGATCACATACTCTTCTATTCCAACTATAGGGCACTGGACTTGAGAGCAGACCATTGGTTTAGCTTTCTAAAACCAGAATAAACCTATGAAAACAGATGAGCAATTGTGCCCATACACTTGGAAATAAACTTGTTTTGAGTGTCTTCTGTCTCATGGAGTAGTCACAATGCCAAGAAGGCAATATTATTGGTTTTTAGGCTTTGGTTTAAACTGTACTGATGCTTCACCTCTTACCTGAAATATATTTCAATTTTTTCCATGACTTCCCTTAGCCAACCATCCACAATGATTTCTTTTTCAAGAAAAACTTCTTTTGCACTTCATGCAATAACCTTCTACGACTGAAGTCCTTACAGAAGACTAATCTTTTCTCTTAATGACTTCAAAATCATCTCTTATGATCCTTTACCCACGACTTTTTATGAGCGAGCAGCTCTCTGCTCTGGGAATGTCATCTCCATTACTAACTGTAAAAAGTGGTGCTTATGTATCCCACACCAACAGTGAAACATAATCAAATAAGGAATACTGGCTAGATATTAGACACTGAGCACAGCAAAATGGGCACACTGAATCTTCAGTAATTGTCAGAAGAACACAGCTTATTGAGAAGAGATCCAATTTCACCGGAACACAAAATTTTAATTTATAATTTAGCACTAAGGAGAAAGAGCAAAGGCAGCTTAACATACACTCCCAATGATAAGACACCCTACATTCCTACAGTTTGTAAAGGTATTATTCTGAAATACAATTTGAATGTTCATGCAGTACATGAATACTCACGCATTCAACCCTACATATACATGAAGAAGTGCCATCTATGTTACATTATTGATGTTCTAGTTACCAGTGCCTAAAAGTTGAGTGCTCATCAGATTGTAAAAGTCCTCTAATTTGTGATTTTCTGGTTTTGCATCTCAATTTCTCTAGTGGGGGTACTTGCATCCCACCCATTACAAGACCCCTCTGCAATATATTTGCCCAAATCAGTGCACTCAAACTCCAGCAGAAATTATCCAACAGCATGAGCCAGCTTGGAATAAAAGTCTGCCTTGCTGTGAAAGAAGACATTACTCCACCAGAACTATCACTCTCATTGCTTTTATCTTCTTTTTATTTATTTTTTAATGGAAGCAAAAACCCCTGTCATCTCACCTACTCTTTTAATAAGGAATGACTGCCGTGACTACCCCCATCTAGAACCACCATTCACTGCCAGCACCTCTGCTCTCCTTGTGTGCTTAGAGAACAACTGATTAGCACTTTGCATAATTAACCTGATTAGCACTGTGCATAATCAAACTGATTAGCACTTTGCATAATTAAAAAGAAATAATAATAATAACAATAATAAGCAGTAGGTAATAGCAAAAGCTGCTAGTCCCATTGCCTGTTCGTTAGCTCTAGGAATAGTTTACTGTGGCATACATTATTTTTTGCAACTTTTTTTTTTTTTTTTTTTTTTTAAGAGGCACAAGCTCTTGAGGAATACAAGTTAAAAAATTATCATTTATTTTCAGATCATCAGTGAAAATACTGGTTGTTCCACATTACGACTTCAGATTCCTTGTAGCTCTCTGTGCTACTGCTGAAGACATATAATAGGAAGACCACAGAATTGCAGGGGTTGAAAGGGACCTTTAGAGATCATAGAATCCAGCCTCCCTGCTAAAGCAGTATTCCCTATGGCAGGTTGCACAAGAAGGCATCCAGACAGGTCCTGAATATCTCCACAGAAAGAAACTCCAACATCTCTCTGAGCAGCCTATGCAGTGCTCCACCACTCTGACAATAAAGAAGTTCTTCCTTGTGCTTGTATGGAACTTCCTGCATCCCAGTTTGTGCCTGTTGCCCCTTGTTCTGTTGTTGCTTGCCACTGAAGAGTCCACTCCTATTGACTTGACACCCTCATTGTAGATAATGAGATCCCCTTCCTGACTTCCCTTCTCCAGACTGAAGAGTCCAAGGTGTCTCATCCGTTCCTCACAGGGGAGATGCTCCAGGCCCTTAATCATCTTTGTTACCCTCCACTGAACTGTTTCTAGGAGATCCCTGTCCTTTTTGAACTGGAGAGCCCAGAACTGGACGCATAACTCCAAATGTGGTCTCACCAAAGCAGAGTAGAGGGGGAAGATCACCTCCCTCAAAGTGTTGGCTGCACCCTTTTTAACATGTCTCAGGATACCATGTATCCCCACAGTATATTATACAGTAGAAAGCTGTATTAACCTTATTATCAAGCTGGGCAAGGTAGAGACACGTGTATCCTCGGAAGTACATAGTCATCAAACAGAGGAAGTCTGGAGAGGAACATGGAGTTAATCATATTTCTGCACCTAATCCTGCATTGCTCTTCCCCCGTATGAACATGTTCTTGTCTGCCTAGGTGTTTTGAGTTCTTCTTGAAGAATCTACTTTTGGGAGACAAAGTACTGTCTTCGACAACTAGCTTCTCCTGCCTTCAGTAGGAATATCCCTGGTTAGTGTCTCAGAACACAGGTTTTCAGATTTTGAGAGGTAGCTGAAGTTACATGTATAAACTGCAAACTGCAAAAACATCTGTGTTAAATGTCTGCATTACTAGTGACTCAGCTCTAAGTTCCCTCCAGACAAGCTAGAACAGCAGTGTCCCACGTGAGCAAATTGTTAACATTTTCTGTTTGCTGATGTTACCTCATACCTCCCTCTCACCACTATGCCCTGTGTTTTGACATACTTTATTAACTTCATCTTTCTCTAGCATCCTCATATTAAAATTCAGATTCTTCTTGCATTCCCATCTTCACCTTACATCTCCTATCTGAGGTATTCTCCTCCAAGAATACCATGCATACTCAAGAATAACTTGAGCAGAATAAGGTATCCTTCCTCTATATGTGAAATATTCATTGCCAACCTTCCACAGTATCCTTACAATGATGTTGTCTACACTTCCCCATCAGGCAGAAGACTCGCAATGTGGTTTCTCTGCTGATAGCTCAACAAATAGTTTGGACAAGGGATAAACAGAGAGTGAAGCTCTGAGTGATCAGTTCATCTGCACTGCAGCTGCTTGGACAGGAACTGCTGCCTCTGGACTAAATGTGGCCCAGATGCACTCCACTGCATGGACCTGTTCTAGAACAATGAAAAAAATCCCCATTGAGCTACATTTTTTTTCCATAAATATTCCCTTATAAAATAAATCAATAAGAAACTGGATGGAAAGAGTAATAAAAGAACATCTTGTCATAATTAACTGGAAATCTGTTGCTCATGCAGAGGAGCCTCTCCCTTCTCTCATTCCATCACCCCAAACAACAGAACCAATATGAACAGCTAAGGGTGCAGAGCTAGTCCCTCATTTCACAAGTTGTTTAGTTTTTGAAGAAAAGTGTTTCTGTAGAGATTTTTCAAGTCCAAATGTTCCTGGGGAAGGTAGTTCCAGTAATTCTGGGAAGGAAGCCAATCTTTTGGCTTTATATGTAAATATTTAAACAACATTATTTTTTATATACTTACATTTTATACACATATACATATATGTCTTTAGGCTTCCAGACTTGCAAAAATGCAACTGAAAAAATATGCCCAAAGTACAGGTATTGGCTCCCCACTCTGAATTATGACAACTGACCATCAGAAACAAAAAAACAATAATGACTTCATAATAATTGAGCCATGTCATCTATGTTTGCTACTCTCTCCAAACAGAAGAACTGACAGATCAGAACTACAGATGCTAAGGTACAGAGATTAAAATCTTAATTATTTGCTCCTTAGAAGTGGCAAGAATGTAAGGTTCATCAATTTTAAATCTTTCAGAGCATAGATGGATGCTGAGCGCTCCACCCATAGGCGTGGGATCTCCAGCCTTTAAGGACACGTCCCTAGCACTTTAGTGCTCCAGGCTGCAGCTTTGTCACATTCAGAAAAGTCACTCTACTTCAGACTTGAATCAGGTCCATATTTAAAAAAGAATTACTTGGTAGAAAATTCCAGCAAAAGACTGCAAACATACCCAACATTGAGGTTCAGTGAACAAAGTGAAGGAAAAAAATAAAAGAGAGGGGTATATAAAATTGATATAGATGATTTAGGGAGCATAATGTACACAGCCAAGGCATATAATGAATAAATCAATCCATGAGAGTAAAATTTACCACATGGATTCCACCTGTACGGACTCATCCTAACACAAAGTACATGCATGTAAATTCATAGCTATATGGTTTAAAGCAATCATAAACATTATTTATGAATACAGTATTTACATATCATTTCAAATACACATATACACACAGCACAGCCATGTGAGTTCTGTGGAAAAGGCCGCAGAAGTATACACATATACACACATAAAAATGCATAGAAGAAAGGACCAAGAATAGGGCAAGTCTTAGAAAATGTTTTAATGGTTTTACAAAAAACCTTCACCCAAAGTTTGAGGGGGTTTTGCAATCTTACATTTTCTATTGCAAAATACACCTGCTTTCTTTTCTTTCTTTTTTCCCCCCTAAACTAAATATTTCTTCCATCTAATGACTCTCTTTATTAGACAGCATCTAATTTGCATACATTTACATACAATTTAACTGCTAGCTTGTGAGAACAAAGAAATGGCTCTGTATTGTACTGAAGGACAATACTCAGAAAAGGAAGGTATAAAAACCAGCTAGCTCGGTGGCTGTGTATTCTCTTTGTTTCAGAAATACCAGGATTTTTAAACACACCACTTAAAGGGTGAGAAAAGATTATTTCATCAAACAATGAGAAAAGATACAGCACAGCTCTCTTTTAACACATTCTCTCTCTGGCCTGGTTAATGGGATTTAAGGGTCCAAGATTTCTTTGCTTTCTTCTGTTTCCTTTATTAGAACTGATGGATTTAATTCTGTCACATATTTTACTTCATATTTTATTCCTATAACAATCTATGCTGAAGTTCAGCTCCAATGCTAATTCAATACTATCTTCCTTCCCTTACAGTCAGCCTGGAACAGGACTGAACGACCACTGATGGGCATGAAGTGGTCTGCCCTCAATGCCCAGTGCTAATGGATTTTAGAGTGAGTCTGCCAGAATTTTACCTTGTGGCAACAAGTACAGGGATAATGAAAACTTACCATGTAGCTGGCTGGGAATCAAGAGGAAGGGAAGCAGGGCTTAGCTCCACTTGTGAGAACAGGGAGGGACTGTGGTCAGAGTAAATGGAAGATGCAAGGGATGTGTCAAGCCCTCTAGTTCCCTACAAGAAGAGGAGAAAAGGATCTTTAAGATCTCACAAATGCAAAAGACAAAAAGTTTTAGGAACACTTAGCAGAAGCTGCAATACAAGCCCATCAGAAGCACGATACATCAGCAAAAGCTTTTTCTCCAAAGGCTTTGCAGTTGGAGAACCAACTGTAGAGAACGGCTGCGGTTCTAATCCATGTGGAAGTGACATAAAAGTGCTGCAAGAAAAAAAAAAAAAGCAGGATTGCAAGCTGCATGCTGCACATCCCCATATCCCATCAAACGCGCGAAAACTAGAGATGCAGAACCACCTGCCATTTGCTGCTGCCTACGTAGTGGAGCTGCTAGCTTCATCACCCAACTGCAATACCACCCAAGGTGTGGTATTTTGCATTCTGCAATCATCTGCTCAGTTCTGCTCACCCCAGTCACACTGGCTGTTCAGGCCAGGCAGCGGGCCCAGGGTTGGGGTGGTAGGCCTTCTCACAGAGGCCTTGCTGCAAAAGGAACACTGGCAGGAGATCTGCACTGCAAGCTGTACCTAGAGGAAACATGTGCTAGTGCTTCCCTGATGTACCTCACTGGCACTCAAAATACATTATAGATTACTTGCAGACACAAATTTTAATTTAAAGCTGGTTGAAATGTTAATGAAGTTGTAGCTGTTTTTCAAAGGGGAGAATTCCCTACTGCTTACAAAAATGTTTTCTTCCCTTTTTCCCCCCTCCTGTCTGTTCAGCTTCTAATGGTGTATAGCAACCAAACCTCATAAAAGAAATTAATCAAGCCTTCACATGTTCCCTTTTTCAAGGATAGAAAGGTTGAGGTGTCATCTTCAGAGTTTGTCATGCATACCAAAACGCAGGTTTTAGCAAACAGTGAAGAAAGTAAATTTCAAAGCCAAAGTTCATTTAGCTGTCACATACCGTATTTACAGCTTATGCTGTAAATATTATTGGGTTACTATTTCCAGTACCGTACCAACTGCAGTTTAAGTTAATTTAAATTGCTGCAACAATCCTACCTTTCTCTTGCCTCTTTCCTCTGACACACATGCCTGACCCCATCCTTGAGCCAGAATCAGATAATTTTCTGGTCCAGGGAACTTTCACCTGAATGAAATTTCTTTTTTTTTCTTTTTTTTCTTTTTCTTTTCTTTTTTTTTTTTTTTTTCTTTTTCAGACAAATCAACTTCCAGTCACGAAATTCTGGGGTTAGAGCTAAGGAGGCTACAAAAACACACACGTGAAGGGACAGCAACAGAGAGGCTTCAACATCAGTCAATTTAAGCTTCCATGGACCTACATCTTGAGATGTCTCAGACTGCTTTGGTAAAAAGAAAGGTTCCTATCACATCACTGGAAACCAAAGCAATCATGGTTTTACAGGTTTAAAGAAAAGCCATCACCTCACATGCTAACCTAAAATAAACTGACGGGCTATACAGATCATGCAGAACAGATGCAGTCTGCTTTGATGAAAAATAGCTTGAGATAATGGTGCACTGCTACAATCTGCACCAGGGGCAATTTCCAAGTGGCAGATTGAATTAGCCTCAAGTGACATGCATTACAGTAATGCTTCCCTGAGGCAATAAGGCAAGGTCCCACATTGAAAAGGAAAGAATGGAGCTTTCTTGCCAAAGGCAAATGGTAAAGCGCACGATTAAGAACCACTGTTACCAGGACATTCAGAAGCTCCTGAAAATCCTTCAAAGACTTCAGAAAATACATTTGGAAATAAAGAGCAGGACTTTTCTTTTACATCTCTGCAGTTATGATATTAAGCATCCCTTTTGCTATTTTTTCCCAGAGTACACGCATTAATTCTGGCCAGAGTGGAATCTAAGCTTTCTAACCACCACCATTTCCAAAGTCACCCTGCCCTAGCAGTTGTGCAGGAAGCTGCAGGATGTAACTCTGGGTTTCAGATGAATACAGAAGACACTGCGGGCCAGATCTCATCCTTCAGTTTGCTTGCTCTAAGGATAACAGACAATTTGAGGCATTTAATCTCTACACTAGAGAGATCCTATGGCAGTAAATAATCACCCAGCACCATCATCTATGATTTCTTCAGGAGAAGGAGTCACTAATGAACAGCTTCACTAGTCAGGTAACAACCATAGATGATTCATCGTAACCGGAAGACACAGTAACTCAGAAAATTAAAAGAGTCAGTGTGGACACCTGATAGTCATCAGCTCAACAGCCATAGTTGTCTCCTTACATTTTGCATTAGACCTCATGGGTGGGATTATCAGAAAGGAGCAACAGCATGATTTTCTTTCCACTAGAATTATGGGGAAATAGTTCTAGTTGAATCTATCAGCAGCACATTCAGACCCGTGCCAAATGTTTTTGAAAATCCTCCCTCTTCCCAGCCTGTGTAGAAAATGGGGAGAAACAGAAGTACAGCACAAAGAATTCCACCAGCTTGTGCCTGGGTAGCAACAAGTTGCAGCTTGTACAATTCTGTCAAGTTAAAGATGCTGAGAATTCCCTTCTAAATACAAACAATATTTCTGAAGCTAGCAAATTCTTTCAAGCATTCACTTTGATTTGATAAATTATATTAAATACAATTTGCCACATCAGTATTTTAAAACATGATAGCTAGAGCATGAATAGGTCATTTTTATACACACAACTAAAATCTATCCAGTCGTGTATATAGTGCAGATTATGTATGCAAGCCCACACTCCCCGAGATAACAAAATTACTCAGCTTGCAAACCAAGCCAGTCACAAACTGCGTAGTCGCAGATAGTGAAGTCAAGCCGGAGCCAATCAGTCCTGCTAAGCAGCTGCTATCTCAGTTGCTTATTAGTTCACCAGCACACTAACCACCACCAAAGGTTTCAGATTGGCTTGCAGCACGCACAGAGCAACACCGGGACCGCTTTCAAAACACTGCAGAAATGCAAGCACACATGAATGCTATCAAAGTGAGAGGGTAGGAGAGAAACTCATTTTTAAATTTTCGTAAAAGATTTTATTTTTTTTAAACACTGAAGAGAAAGCCCTTACTCTTGAATACAATAACAGAATTGTGCTGTTTAGTGTCAGAATGCTAAGTTCCATTTTTAATGGGAAAAAGTGTATAATCATCATCCTGATTTAGATAGGTTTTAGGTCAACCTTAGCTACATATAAATGAATGTTTTGCTCAAATTAAAGGATAATTTTAATTAGGACACCTTGTTAGACATCCTGTTGTTCTCTTTAATGGACTTTCTCAATTATGAGAAGGAACACCTCTCCATTCACCTGTGACTCAAGTTAAGGTAAAGATTATGCTGAATAAATATACAAAGAAAAATATTTATCCTGCAATAGATATCCTTATTTCTGTTGATCTTTACTTGGCAACTTCCATATTAAAAAGGCAGGCTTCAGAATTCAGCACCCATTACACACCTGTTTAAAAACTACTTGAAGCATCGGAACCAGCCAAATGCATCTCAATTAAGCAGAAACATTGGCACTGCTGTCCCAAGTAAGGAACACCCATTGCCATTTGCTCTCATTAGGTTAAACAAGATTCCTGGGACATAGCTGAATTCCTGATTATGTGCATTGCAAATAGATGGGGAACAACAGAACAATAAAATTTAGCTCAGCACAGCCTTCTGTCCAGTCATCAAGCACAGCGTATGGGGAGAATGAAGCTCTGGGAAGTGCCCAGGAGCTGTGTGCAGCATACACTGTATTCACTCTTCTGGCAAGAACCTGCTTGGTTGACATGACTGAAAGATACAGGGTAGGATTTCTTCTCTGAAAAGTCAGTGAGATTAAGAGCTGATTCTCTGTTCCCTAGCACTTCTCTGTCTGTACTTGAAATTAGTTTATCTTACATGATTTTATTTGTTGGTCAGAATCATAATATGCTAGTTTCTTTATTCAATTCAGTGTTAAATCCGTCACTGATTGCTTGATTTCGTAGGAGTTCGCTGATGGAATGACAAGCCCAGAAAACAAAATCTTTGTACATAGATCAGACAGGGTACTGCAAGCTTCAAAATATTTTTGTCAACTTATTTTAAGTGTCTTCCAGAGGGACCAACCACATGGCTAACAGAAGAATCTTGTCTCTGTCATCCATTTAACCCACTGGCCTCTGTCAAGGATGCAGACATGCTTGCCAATAAGTGACAAGTCGAGTGGTCTTTTTCCAAAAACTCAACAATACATTTCAGGGTGGTGCCATTAGAAAGCCAATACACAGAATCAAAGCAGAGTAGTAGCGATTAAGAAGCAAGTCTGGAATAGTTCTAATATCCACGCTCAATCCTCTATAATCCCACTTCATTATCAATTTATTAACTTCCTTTGTTGTCCTTTCTGTCATCCAACTGTGCTAGTCACTAATAGATCTTAGTTTTGAAAGTGTTCTACACCATGAGCACAAGAAGTGAGCATCCTTCATAAAATTGATCAGCTAACTGTATCCAAGTAAAGGGTGTACAGTCTCTAAACTAAAAACTTAAAATTAAAGATATAAGAAAAGATGGTTTAGCACTGTAAACACTACTTAGTTTATAACTCGTATCTGGGATGTTAGTAGGCTGGGGAAAGAAAAATTATTAAACACTTTTCATCTTTGCCACATAGATTTCATATGAACATAAATACTGTTTATTTTCTTGTACTATTTGTACTTAGTGTAGAATTCACAATTATTTAGTGCCTACAACAGTGAAGTAAGTATTAATACATGAAATAAAGTGTTCTGGGAATAAGATATCAGCTATCAATAGCTACTGATCTAAAATTATGTTTATTTTCAAGACAATTGTAAGAGTGGAAGAAGTTTTCCTGTTCTGCCTAGCTCTAAAAGGTACCAAGAAATCCTAAGACAGCTGCTTGCATGGTCAGCCTTTGCATGTGTTTTTTTTTTTTTTTTGTATTTGTTAATTTTTGTTACCAATAAAATATATATTTTCGCATAGAATCAACACTTTCTGACTTTCTATTGCTCTTTACATACAAATCCATGAGTGCTGTGTTCACTGTGGTGCTTCCCTTCCATACTCCTACTAATCTTAACAAGAATGCTGGGCACTCAAAACTCCTGAAATAAATACTTCATATTTATTCTCCATCATTTTATTCACAAGGGTAGCTGCTTATAGCAAAAATGCTTTACAACAACATTCCCAAACCTTGAGGGCCACAGTCCTTATTAAGGCTTAAATTAAGAAACAGCTAGCTTCTCCTCTAGTATTGGTGGCTCAAGATTTGTTAGTTGGGTCACTTCCAGACAACAAGTGCTTCCACTGTGAATGGACGTTTTTATTGGTAGGCATTTTTTAGTAACCAGAATGGAGTAGCAAAGTGGGAACATGGGTGAAAACAAAGCAAGCCCTCAAACAAAATCAACAGATCACCACAGGACATCAGAAGAATCAAGATGAGACACCATCTCGTTGACCATTACTCTATTTGTAATAGTGACTTGGGGTCAACTGGAATTCTAGTATTCATCTTCCTTTGTACCTTTACTTGGCAATGTTCAAAGATGTTCAGCAGCACCACTTTCACAGACATGGTGATAAACTACCCTGTATTACCTGTACCTAATCACACACACAAAAACAACTTAAAAGTAAATTTCACTAAATCTGAAGTAGCTGTCTTCTGTGCTTTAAAAACAAAGAGGAGCATCTGCTCTGTGCTACACTCATTGAAAAAGTGGGGAAAAAAATGTTTTATACATTTCAACTGCCATTTCCTTCCCTTCTGCTGAAAGGGAAGCATATATCAGACCCTGAGGGAAGTCACTACAAGACCCCTCAAATGCCTCAGTTCACCAAAATGAAGAGACCTGCAAACTGATGCCTTAACCATGGACCATTCCAGAGAAGGAAAGACTTTGCTTCTATCACAGATATCCATATTGCATCATCTCCTCATATTTGATATAAATAAGAGATGCAGGTTAAAAGGAGAGAAAAAAAAAATCAGCTTTCAACTTCTAATTGCATGCAATAGCAGCTTTCAAACCTGTTCCAAATAAACAAAGTACGAGTTCATAATTACACTTGTATTAAGAAATACACTCCTTTCCACTGTCAGAACCCCACAGTGGAGTGGCACCTTTCAAGACAAAGTGCAGAACTGCAGCCTTGAAACAGAAACTAAACTTGTGAAAGCAAAGAGCAAGAAATGAGCTGTGGGGAAAATGGAGAAGACAAAAACAGACGGAATTAAGAGCCTTAATACAGCCCTTATCTCTCCAGCAGGACCGCAGAGAGACAAGACAAAAGGCACATAAACTTTATGCACAAAGTGAGGGGAAGTCAGTGGAGGGATATATTAGAAAAATTAATGTTTCAATATGCCATCTTGTAATATCATATTGAAAACCACACCGCTGTGTGTTACTGTATTTGACCAAGTGCACCATCGTGTTTAATTTGAACTTTGATTATGATAAATCACATGAT